TTTGAGATACATTCTTCTCAGGGGAGGGGCAGGCATAGATTGATGACATTTGAGCTAAGATGTATATGAAATTTTGGATCTTGAGTTGATGTGTTAAAACTTCTAGGGATGTTGGAATGTATTTTCCATGAGGACAAATGTGAATCTTTGGGTACCAACGACTAGCCTAGGATTGGCCTCCAGGCTGAACAATGCTACTTCTTCCCCACAAAAAAGATGTTCTGATCCCACTTCCTAAAATTTCTGAATGTACTGTATTTTATGGCAACAGGGCACTGAGGTAGCGGATGGCACTGGGACTGAATAACGGTTGACTTTGAAATGGGAGGTCATCCTGCATGAGTGAAGGAGAAGGGCAGAGGGAGGACCCAACCTCTCTTTGCTGCCTTTGGAGACTGAGAGAGGATAAGCCAAGGAATGTGGGGGACTGAAATAGGTCAGGGAACCAATTCTCCTTAGAACTTCCAGAAAGAACGCATCCTTGTCAACACCTTGAGTTTACTCTAGTGAAACTCTTCTGAACTCTGACATCCAGAACTGTAACATACCAAAGTTGTCTTTTAAACAAACCCAAGTTTACAGTAATGTATTACAACACTTGACAACTAACACACGTCTGCCTTGAAATTTCCTGTTTGGGGATTTGGGGCCAGTTGTTTCATCTTTGCCTTGTTTTCCCTCCTCTCTACACATCAGAACTGCTGGGAGAACCCAAGGTGCAAATGGGTAGAAAGGCCTAGCACCCAGTGCTCGCTTGCTCGCTCTGTGCCCTGAGTCAATTCGGATGCATGGTGTGGCTATCCGGCAGGGCAGCACTGCCCCGTGGGTTTCTGAGACTTTAAGTCTTTACAGTAGAACACCCGATCACGGAGCACCTGGTGGTTTCAAACTGTGAACCTTGTGGATCTCAGCCCAAAGCATAATAAGCACCTGGCCCCCAGGTACTCAGTAAAAGTGGATTCCCAGCTTTCCTCTCCTTCCAGATTGGGGAAACACAGGAAAGGAAAGCAGGTGCCAAACTGCCTTCTCAGGGGGCACCACCTTCCTCTGACTTCAGCTGCCTGGAGTCCTGGGTGCTCTGCTCCACTACAGCAGAGGGTGCCGACCTCTCCTGGGGAAACCCCCCTTCAGAATACAAAAGCTCTTTAGAAGAGCCCTGCTAGAGCCTCCCTGGAGAAGGGAATTTTCAGAGATGAAAGAGGAGCTGAGGCGTCAGTATTCGAAATAGAAACCGATGGCCATGGACTTGGATTCTGATGCCATGGGTCTTGATGATCCCATGCTGGTCAGAGCAGAAATGCTGCCATGGATTTTCTTTTTTCTTTCCCTGGTAGTTGCAGTTTGGGTTAGTAGTCACGTGGCTTTCTTCAGAAGTACACCTTACCTAGGTGACCTTCCTACCTGTTAGCGGAGCGTGTTCTCCATTTGCCCCACTGAGGGCTTCCAGGATCGGTACTGTGGACCCCATCCCGGTGTGCGCCCCCCCCCCCGAAAGAATCAGGTGACTTTAGCCAGTCATAGGGGCCAGGCCTGGCTGTCCTACCCCATCTACCCCTATCCCCCCAAAGCTCCCCCACCCCCCCCACAAATATTTCAGGCTTTCAATTCTTTAATTAGTTGTGTTATGAGCTTTTATTTCAAAAGCACATTTAATACAAGTATAGTTTCGCAGATACAAGCTTTCACTTTGTATTCTACAAAAGTCTTTGAATATTATTCTCTTTACAAAATGGAGCCTTACAAAAATACTGACAATTTAATGTTTCTTTTTATACAGTTTTTCTCTAGTTGCAGTTATTTGTCATTGTAAAACAATGCCTACCACAGAACTACGATATTTTAGTTGATATTAAACAAACAAACAAAAAAGAACTCAATGCTTTTTTAAGCAGCTAATAATGTAAATAACACAGGTCGAGACATGGTTTATCATAGTGGATATAGCTAAAATTGTTTCAGAAATAATATTTTACATAGTTAACTTTTAAGGTTTTATACATTATTTATATAATATTTATATATAAAAATCATAGCTTGCTATAGTTGAAATGAAAGGACGGATGTGCATGTGGTTATATTTAGCCCTTTGAAAGGTTTGCATCCAAGATCTGAAAGCATTTCCCCTCCCTCCCTTCCTCAGGTTCAGTAGAAGGAGTCCCCGCATGCTACCCAGAGTTCCCGTGTACTTGCTGGGAAGGATGAGGAAAGCTCTCTTCGCAGATTTCACCCACGTGTTCTGCCCAGCAGAACCTACCAAGAACTGCCCTAGAGATCAACCCCAAGACAATAGTGCTTTTACACAGCCCAGCAAGCACCGCCTGCGCAAGGACCCCAGCAGCTCCTTCAGCTCCCAGGGCAGCCTCACCAGGGGGAGCTCGGGGCCCCTCTGGCTCCTTCTGACAAACCACTGGTTTGCTTTCCCTCTGCCCACCCCCCCGCACTCCCCCACCTCCAGTATAGAAGGCCACTGTCCCTCAGAGGGCTGTGGGCCCCACCTTTGCTCATCTGCAGACCCTTGCAGGACAATCCAGCGGGCACACAGCAAGATTGGCAGGAAGGAGGCAGTCACCCAAGTCTAACCGTTCCTAAGAGTGTGCAAGCGTCCCAGTGCTGATGCCCAGGCAGAAGGCAAATGGAACGCCTTCTGAAATTGTGCTATTTGTGAAATTCACACGTCCACAAAGAGTCTCCTAATCACTAGCTAACGTGAGGGGCTGTGGTTACTGGCCTGTGGGCCGGGTAAGTGATAAGGTCTCGGGGCGGGGAATTTGGAGTCGGGATAATTCCATCGAGCAAGCAAGCTCTTTCCTTTTATCTTAAAAACAAACAAAGCCCCCCAAGAAACGAACTTCTTGAACCAAAGTCACAGTAAAGAAAAAGTGGGGTGGGCAGAGAGACAGGAGGGGGCACTCCCCTCCCTCCCCGCTCAATGGCTATTTTCTTGGGTCAGTGCTATCTCTGGCTTTCCTCCCCGGCCTGGGGCTCCTTGGGCCACATAGGTGACCCCCAGACAAGACTTGAACCCTCGTAGTGTCTGTTCCAGAACAAGCCGTGTTCACTAGAACATGAACACGTGAGCCAACGGCACATCCAGATTCCGGCACTTGGTGTTAGTTCGCTGTTGGTTCCACACAGGTGAGCAACTACCTATTTGGGAAGGCCACAAAGTAAGACTTTGTTTCTTTCTTTCTTTCTTTTTAAAATCAGTCAGGCAAAAAAAGAAAAAGAAGAAGAAGAAGAAGAGTTTTTGTGTTTTTGTTTTTCTCCCTACATTCTACTGTCTGATGAGATTGGAGAGCAGCAGAGGCTGTCAGCAGTCACGTTACAGAAACAGCTGGAGAGGCGGGCGGCTCCTACACCATGTTGTGGTGATTGTTCCTGTCAATGATGTCCACCGGCGAGAGGATCTCCTTCCTGATGGCGGGGGATGGCAGTGACAGGGGCGTCTTGCTCTTGAAGAGGTCAGACACGAAGAAAACCTAGGGGTGCAAATCAGAGGTCCAGATCAGTAAGGGGCACCGGGGGACTGGACACATGCAAAGACAAAGAGACCGTCACAGGAGCCCAAGCTCCCAAAACGGAGGGACTCCAGATGACAGATCTACCAATTGAGAAGGGCGGCAAGGAGCATGCAGCCCAAAGTTTATTGCACAGATGGGGACACCGAGGACAGAGAAAGGTGGGCACATGACCCAGGTTGCACAGCAGCTGTGAGACTAGAACCCGACTCCCAGTCCACCGTTCCATAGCGGCTACCCCTACATCCTTATTTCTCAAAGCAAATGAATAGCAAAGAAACAGAAGTTTTTAGTCACCATTTTTTTTAAAATCGTTTTATTAGGGGCTCATACGACTCTTATCACAATCCATACATACATCAATTGTGTAAAGCACATTGGTACATTCATTGACCTCATCATTCTCAAAACATTTGCTCTCCACTTAAGCCCCCGGCATCAGGTCCTCTTTTTTTCCCCTCCCTCATGAGCCCTTGATAATTTATAAGTTATTATTTTGTCATATCTTGTCCTGTCCGACGTCTCCCTTTTCTGTTGTCTGTCCCCCAGGGAGGAGGTCACATGTAGATCCTTGTAATCGGTTCCCCCTTTCCAACCCACTCTCCCTCTACACTCCCAGTATTGACACTCACACCACTGGTCCTGAAGGGATCATCCACCCTGGATTCCCTGTGTTTCCAGTTCCTATCTGTAGCAGTGTACATCCTCTGGTCTAGCCAGACTTGCAAGGCAGAATTCGGATTATGATAGTGTGATAGTGGGGGGCGGAGGAAGCCTTTAGGAACTAGAGGAAAGTTGTATTTTTCATCGTTGCTACATCGCACCCCGTCTGGCTCGTCTCCTCCCCAAGACCCCTCTGCAAGGGGCTCTCCAGTGGCCTACAAATGGGCTTTGGGTCTCCACTCCGCACCCCCACCCCTCATTCTCTATGGTAATCATTTATCCATTTTCTCTTTCCTCATTAAGGAACCGAGAGTATAAACACCCCCACCCCACCCCACCAAAAAAAACATTAGCCAGTGTGAATTCATATCAGTAGGAGTTAGAATAAGGAAGAGGTAGTGGCCACTTTTCACTGAAAATCCCATGATATCATCACTTTGGATGGGGGTCAAGATGCCAGGGTCCGCTTGCTGAAGGAGTCAGCAACTATGGTTCCTTCTGCAGCCCTTCCTCCTCCTGGGCATGTGACCTCATGAACTCTTTTAAAAAATCATTAAGAAACATTTATTGAACTCCCACTTGCAAAGACATAAGGATGCCTCAGGCTTAGATGGTGTTCAATGGCTGTCTGATGAAAGATCGAGGACTTAGAGAGTTGCTGAAGGAAGATGCATGCGTTGTTACTGGATGGCAAAACAAACACACCTCCTTCTCACCTGTCAACCGTCTCATTATCTGACACTGCACATTTACAAGGGTAGTTAAAAAAAATCTGTTATCCAACTATTTCTCTCATGAGTAGTGTGCATCTCGCAGTAGCAAAGGAGAAGCGAGAGGTGAGCCTAACGCTGGCTGTGATCCTTACGGTCATGTGTTGCCTCATGCATCGACTGGGCCACGCTTCTCAGTGGTTTGGCAGTTATGGGGTGATGTAATTTGGCAGTTGAGTGATAATGCCAGCCTCCTCCTTTTTGTCATCTGATGTGCTCATCCTCCAGTTTGGCGTCATGCTGGTTTTTCCATAAGGGAGCCAGGCTTTGGAACCTAACCATGCGACGTGAGAAATTATCAACGGGGATTTCTATTAAGTAAACACACACATGGCTGGATTCCAAAGTAGGGGATGCAAAGGACTTTCAAAGTTCACTTTTGGAGGTGTAGAGTCCTTGTAAGGTGCTCTCTAAGGTTCACGCTGCTATTGCCGAGGGCCACCAACGTAACTGCGACCCTACAGGCCCGAGAAGGAGGCCTCCGAGGGCTTCGTGGGCTGTCCAGCTTTCCAGGACCACATCACCAGCTCCTTCCCTCAGACTCCCTGGTGGGCTCAAACCACCAATGTTTTGTTTCGCAGTCAAGTACTTCACCTCTGTCCACCGAGGCGCCACCCTGGTCACAGGAGAGGTGGGCAAATGAAGTCCTTCGTAAGACATCATGAAAATCAAAGCTTCAACAGCTCAGGACTGACACACGCAGTCGAGGTGTGGATGATCTGTTCGATCAGTTCCCACAGTGTCCCTACATAGTAGCAAAGCAATGAACAGAAGGCCACCAAAGCCTAGCCAAGGACCTGCTCAGCGGGGTTGCCCAAGAAGAGGGGCCTGGGAGGTTGGAGGGCAAATGAAGGCAAACTCGTCACTGGAAAACCCTTTGTATCTTTAGAAGTTTGTACCCAACCTATCTATTACCTATTCAAACTGCTTAATGGTTTTGTGGGTGGAGGGAAAGTAAAGAAAAGAAAGGTGGTTTACATGCTTCTCTGAGGAAGTAAAATATTAGCCTTCTACTGCAAAGTAACCTTTTGTTTAAGTTCACGTTAAAGCTCGGTCCCAGGGAACGCACCATTTCACCAGGGAAAAACTAAGCAGTTTGTCCCTTTCTTTTTGGAGGAGGCATGAACAGTGAGAATTTCGGTGTAGAAAGGTGAGTCTTCCAGTAAGAAAAGATTGTGCCCATCTCCCCAGGCAGGAGGTGCCAGGCACTCTTCACAAGTAGCTAGAAGGGTGGTCACATACCCTCACTGTACAAATAATAACAATAAGGTGCTCAGAGTTCAATGTGAGGATCGTGAAGCTTTTCAGCTCTTCTCCGGCCCCACTTCCCTCTCCAGCGCTCCCTTCCACTCTCTACTTGCTACTGCCCTAATCCGATGTCATCACTCAGCAGGAGGAAAGAGAGGGTCTCTGTTACTACCTGTACATTGTCCCCGACGCCCGGCCCCCTTCTTCATTTTTGTCTCCGAGAAAAGGTTTCAATCCTGGAGCTCACCTCCACATATCCCAGCCTGATAGCACGTTCCATCAGAGACATGAGAGATACATCTTCAGGCTGCTCCCTCTGCTGAGGCCAGGGGTTCTCACGCCCACAAACACCTCCTTCTTCAAGATCTTTACAACCTCACTGTACTGGCTTCGCTCCCAATTTAGCTTTCTGAGTTCACATCCACCGTATATTAGGGTTTCATCTTCCCAATGGCAAGATATTAATATGAAGAGTAAAGGCAATCATGTACTTAAGAAAGCCTAAAACAGGGTGTGGTCCACAGGCCAGCGAAAGGTATTCCTGTCTCTAATACTCCGCATCCCAGAGTGAGCCTACTCACCAAAGCAGTGCCTGTCAATCTTTCTTCCCAGAGAAGCTTCTTAAAGGGCCAGTCCTAGCCCCGATCATCTCTCGGATCACAAACAACATTGGACGTTGGGCTCTAGCCACAACAGGGGCTCCATAAATGTTTGCTCTTTAATTTCCAAACTACTGGGAAGCAAGTAGTTGCCTCCTGCCTTGGACATTCTGGGCACAGAGGACCCCTGCGGACTTCAAGGGGAGCCACATGCTCCAACGCCACATGCACTCAGCCCTGCAGGAAGAGTCTAGTTTTTAATGGGTTCTACTTACTTTTTAATTGAGATTTTTCCCATTATTCTTGTTAGTTTTTAAAAAATATTTTTATACATGAAATCTAGCATAGGCAAATCTATAGAGCTAGTAACTGGATTCATGGTTCCTTGTGGGTATGGCAGGGGAGATGGGGAGGTGGTGGAATGCAGAGCTAATAATGATGCGTAGGAGAATGATATAAATGGTCTAAAACTGATTGCAGTGACGAGTGTACAAATCTGCTTGATACGATTGAACTATTAAATCTTATATGTGAATATATGCCAATAAACTGTTGAAATAAAATAAAATGAAATTAGGAAAGGTGTTAAAAAAGAAAGAAATGCTGAGTCCAGTCCAGTAGAATCCCCCTTTAAGCAGTATTTTGTTTTTTCAGTATAGCTTGAGGTTACATGAACACTTCACTAATACGATCCTGCCTGACTCAACAGGGCTCAGTTTTCCCAATGCTGAAGCAGCAGAACTAGAAAAAGCGAAAACTTCTTAGCTTAGAGCAATTCCATTTCCTGCCAAAGATGGTCTCCACCCAGCAAGAAAACCCAGAGGCCCAGGCGGGGAAGGGTCCACACACATTAAGTAGTTCTCTTAGATCGCAGACATAAACCCGCTCCCAGGCCACAGTCAGGCTCCACACATCTCCTCTGCTGCTTGGACGAACACGTTAGGCAGTAAACACAGACTCGGAAAACGAGAAATCTACTACTCCCAGTGCCAAGATGTGTTCTAAGTTACACAGTCCAGAGCATTTGCCTTCAATTCAGTGTCTCTGATCCTTTGCATTGTATGATTTACTTTTTGGAGAAATGAATGAATGCAACCAGTAAAGAGCTATGGAATACCTGCTCTGTGCCGAGCCCTGAGAATAAAATATATTTCAGACAGAGACCTCTGCCCTCCAGGAGCTCACAGCCCTGGGAGGGATGGAACCTGGTACACAGGCACCAATAATAGAATGCTTTAGGGAATGCAATACAAGGAAGCTGGGGCCTTAAAGAACCCCCGAGAAAGGAGCTTTGGTGGTGTACCGGCTATGCGTCGGGCTGCGACCCACAAGAACCATTGAAAAGGTAGCATCTCACCCTAACTGAAGGAAGAGCCGTAGGAGGCTTTCCCACAAAGGAGGTATACTTGAGCTTAGCTTCGAAGGCTACGGAGTTAGCCAGGTGGTGATGGCCAGGAATGTGGCTGGAGGCACAGAAAGCAGCGAGTACACAAGCACAGGACTGAGCAAGCGCAGCGCGCGCGGGGACCGTGAGCAGCTCTGCACAGTTCCGTGAGGCTGGGATGGCCAGGGCCAGACTTAGCCTTCTGTGACACAGGTAAGACGTTCAGACCTTATCTGCTTGGCTCGAGGAGCCATTGTCAAGGCTGAAGCAGGGAAGTGTATCTTCTTGGAAACAGGT